CTATAACTATTTATTTCTTTTAACCTTTCCTCGTGCGTTACGGGAAGTTATGCACGCCCCTTTGTACAGGCCAACTTGGATTAGTTTGCTGAATGGTTTTTCCAGCTTTTAAATAATGAACAGGCCAGCAGCAACATGCATATCGTTAAAGTAACGAAGCAATAACAATAAAACTGGTTTCAGACCCAATGTAAGGAAGTTTATAGGCCACAAGCGGCTTCTCCTCACATCGTACATCAGTGATGACAAGTGTGTGATTTTCAAACACTTTTTATTGTAAACTCAAATGGGTTTCCAAAGTTAAGAACATAAGAGCGGCCAGACTGGGTCAGACCAAAGGTCCACCCAGCCCAGCATCCTGTCTGCTGACAGTGGCCAATACCAGGTGCCCAAGAAGAAGGGATCACAACAGGTAATCCTCACATGATTCCTCCCCTGTCACCCACTTCCAGAGAAACAGAGGCTAGGGACGGGACACCATTCCTACCCATCCTGGCTAATAGTCATTGACATACCTAACCTCCATGAATCCATCTAGCTCTTTTTTGAACCCTGTTAAAAGTTCTAGCCTTCACTGTATCCTTTGGCAAGGAGTTCCACAGATTGACTGTGCGCTGAGTGAAGAAAAACTTCCTTTGGTTTGTTTTAAACATCCTGCCTATTCATTTCATTTGGTGACCTCTAGTTCTTATATTGTGGAAATAAGTTGACTCTCCAGTAAAGTGCTGCCTTCCCAGCTCACGCGCACTAGACCCGGCATTGGCCTTCCTGAGCTGTGGGAAAGAAGCCGGCTTTATTTGTCGCCGTGTTAAAACATAGGAGTAGCCCAGTGCAGGGCGCTAGCCTAGGACTTTGGAGACCTGGCTGTGATCTGCTCTGCCACTTGTTGCATGCGCCCCTTTGGGCAAGTCGCTTCATCCCTCTGCCTCCGTCCCCGCCTATCTAAGGGGAATAACAGCCTCCTGGGTGTTGAGGGTAAATACAAAAAGAGACTGAGATGCTGCATTTCTTCGATACTGGTCCAGAGAAGTACGTAAGACAGAAAGAGCCAGTGCACAGGAAAGTCAGTGGGAGCCCTTCCATCCATTGACTTCCCTGGCTGTCGGATTGAGGCCTTTAGACACTTCATTCCAGCACTTGTTCAGATGCGTGTTAAGGGTCTGTCGATGTCGGTTGGCTTTCCAGACTCGCAGTGGAACAGGGCATCGTTATGGCTTGCGAGTCATTTGCAGTTAAAGATGGAGTTTGTCAGCTGCTCTTGAATGTTTCCCTGTGCAACAAGCAGGTTTTGTATTGGTTTTTCCCAAGAAGGGTGTTGCAGCAGTCGCTGGATTCTCTCATTTTCCTGGCCCTATTGTCATTTGCAGCCACGCACAGTGGGCTCCAAGCATCACCCTCGTGACTCAGCGTCGTTTTACGCTCCCTTTGCAAGCCTGAGGGGTTTAAGTTAGAGAAACAGGGAGTTGGGGAGGAAGATTGGAACATTGCCTTGATTCAGGTTGATTCCTTGCTTCAAAGGAGGTTGAGTGAAGTCCCCTCCAGAGCCACTCAATCTGGAGGCTGGCTCGGTGCCAGTTACCCTGGAGCCCGGTAGATCTTCTGTGAGGAAATGAGGTGGATGTCAGCCCTTCGTGTTCCTGGACTTCATTTGTGGGCACTGTTTTCCCGTAGGTCATTAACGTCTCTCCGAAGCGAGCTGATTCCGTATCTAGTTAGGAAGCAGTTCTCCTCCGCGGCATGCGTCCGACAAGGACGGGACAGCAAAGAGCAGGATCAAAAGAAGGATGAAAAGTCATTAGGTGAGTACGAGAATCAGCAGGTTGAAGGAAGATCTTGAAGCCTTTAGAGCTAGTCGAGGGACTCCCGTTTGCCTACATCGGCGGGTCCTTTTCTCTGGTCCGTCAACGGAGCCATGTAGTTTACACGTACCCTTAGTTCCACTCGCGTAGGGCAAGGGATTGGGGGGCTACACAAGAGGGAGAAGCTAAATGGAAAGCAAAGGGAAGGCCGGGGGCCCACGAGAAGAGGTTGAGGGGCAGATGTGACTGAAGCAGAAGGTGGTGGAGTGGGAGAGTTGGCAAAAGTAGCCAATTGGCACAGGCAAAGACAGTCCAGTGAAAGCGATAGAAAATTCTCTGAATGGCCAAAGGGCCCCAGTTTGGCTGCTTCCGCCCCTCCGAGCCGGGGGCTCTGGCTGGCTCGTCTCCAAGCCCACATGCCAGTAAAGATTGTAGTAGCCGTCTTACTTTGTATGTTTCCGGAGAGGACTGGGCCCAAATGCTGCCCTGTAAGTCCCCTCCCCAAATGTTGTACTCGGGATGGGGCGGGAGGCAGTGCTTTCTCATTACCACCTCCTCCCCCCCCC